ATGTATGTATTATATTTATTAGAAAATTTAAAATAATATACGTATCAAGATCTTCCTACTGTGTAAATAATTTAAACAATATAATATGTAATAGGTAATTGTTACATAATTATAATACAACTGTAATATTATGGGTATGCATATCTTAAACATCTTAAACATATTTTAAATAATAACGAATATTTTAAACTGTCCATTTTACATTTTGATAATATTAATTATAATACACCACTACGATCAATTTTAAATCACGTTTACCTTTATATAAACCCAAAAACCTCTTATATTAATATTAATGTAACATAATATTTGAAATAATACGATATAATTTAAGCATTAAAATCTAGAAGCTTAAACCGACTAGTCTAGATGAAMAACGAAGCCCATTAATATTAATTAAATATTAATTAACACAATCCATTTTCGATATTATACCTAGGTACTATACATAGGTACATAATCACAATTATGCAACCAAACTGTTATGGTAATCTATGAGATAAGTGTAACATTTAATTGTATTAATGATGTCTGAAAAATTAGTTTGACTTGTCTGCGTTTACAATCGAGGCAACGCACCGCTAACCACTTAAACTTAAAATATATTTTATAATGTGCCACATTTATTAAAATACTACATACCTATTTAATTTTGCATGCATTTTCGGAAAAAAATAAAAAAATCTAACCAAGAGTTTATTTTAATGATATTAATTATTATTTAGGATGTGTACCAACCGAAGAAGAATTGAATGAATTCACAAACATTGTGGAAAATCGAAATGCACCGAATACCGTTGATAAGAATTTATTTGTACCGCATATGGAAAAACAAATAAGGGCATTTAAGTACCTAAGTTAATTGCTTAATTATTGCTGATTGCTAAAATAATCATTATTTGTATACATATAATTATTTTTGAAACACACATCACCTATGAATAATATATACAATATAAAATCACTAATGTGTGTACCATTATAAATACAATCAAAAACTAATAATGAATAATGATAGATATTGAAAAAAATTAATATTAGATTTTATTGACAAGAACCGCGGAATATATGGTCAAGATGCTTTTTTTATGGCTAAACGAATAATTACTTGTTTTGTATTCAATCCTTAACCTWACCTAACACTTCCAGCAGATAAATCCACAATAGCTATTACCTTATTTCTGAACAAACAGCAACTGAGAAAGTCTTTTAATTAATAAGTAAATATAATAGGTAACTATTTTAGGTATAAACCGGGAACAGCGGACGAATTGCTGCAAGCATTTCACACGTTAGACACAGAAAGTAAAGGCTCGTTTTCTGTGGATTTCATGCAACAAGCGCTCCTCAAAGGCGATTCATTAGATCCCGAGGATATTACCGAAGCAATTAAGACCGCTTACGATCCCGATTTCCAGTGCATACAGTACGACATATGGATCCACAAGTTATTGGTAAATCAAAACACTGCCAAGATTTCGAAATTTAAAATTATTGTCAATGGTGGCACTTTTAATTCCGATTTCAASATTCTTCAACTGATACTACATAAAACACTTTGAAACGCGATGATACTTGTAGTCAGACATAAGTTAATAAAATTCTWACCAATTTAACAGGGGCTATCATGTATTAAAAAATTAGCGGCAGGGAGTTTAAATTCACTATTTAACTATTATCATGGAATCGGAAAAACTATTCTGGGTTGGTTTGAATGATTCCGGTATATAACACGCGTAATATTTTGGTCAACAATGACTATGAACCCTAATTTATAGGTATAACCTGAGGAGACAACCTTACATAAAACGTAAGGCTATAAAAAGTTTAAATAGGTAAATAATAATCCTTATAACCTAATACTATTTTATAATTTGTTTTAACGAACGGTATCGCCTAGTAGTGCGTAAAAAAAAGAGCGAAAAGTATAATAAAATCCCTTCAAAATCACGCAAACGTACGTGACTTAGTTCCTTTTATTATTACGTCGTGATATAGGTACAGTGTGCGAGATCTGACGCTTTATTATTGTCAAAACAATCGATAGCAAAATAAGTTTTGTTTTTAATTTACGTGGTTGAAAATTATGGACGTCTGTGGTAATAATAGGTATTGGTGGTAAATGCCACAAAGATCAATTAATAAATGAGACGGTAAATCGATTGACTGCTATAGGTACATTGTAATAGGTAATTATATTGAAGGTTCCGTGGCGATACATAATATGCTGTACGCTTGGAGTACTGGTCGTAAATAATATTATTATTATATCTGTGTTGTAYTTCATTTTGATTTCATTTTCAGGGAAAGACAAAAATGGACCCGTACGCTTTAGCTACCAACGATGTCGTTTCGACTAACCGGGCAAAGGCAGAGGAAGACGGAGAACTAAATCGACTGTTATTATTGTCCTCGGAGAATAATGATATTGACCCGGCTGTAAAAAATTAGAATAGTATAGCTGCCATTCAAAACCAATAAATATATTACAACTCCTCGAAATCGTATCAATATCGTATTATACAAATAAATATACCGCGCAGCACGTGATMAGATACGACACGACCACCTGAACTGTTGACGACACTCCGCGAGGGGATGGGGCGTGAAGGAGGGTCGAAAACAGGTCAGACACGAGTCAAAAAAAGAATATTAAGGAAAACAAACCGAAAAAAACTATGATATTATACGTAGGTAGTAGATAGAAAAATAGTGGAACGTCGTGGTGGCATGGCATGGTGCAGGTATAAGCTCTGCATACGGATTTGACACGGTTTCAAAAAAAAAAACTTCTTTGTGCGGTGGACGGCTTTTTGTCGGTTTCCCGAGGACGCGCTTTTAACGAATTAATCGATGACGGGCTTTTCGGACGGTGTGCCAAAAACCGTATGAAATAACTACAAAACTGCGACGTCGGTGCGTGCGTKTTGGACCTAATGCTCCGGAAACGCGCAGCCAACGAGGCCGCGAGCGCACACGTCATCCGTAGTCGCGCCGGAGACACGTCGTCATCGTTCGCTGGACGTATACATATTGTATATATTATTATGTCGTACGCGATTATATACGAGTGTTTTATGGAGCAGTGTGTCATCCCTTGTCTCCCCAACTCACACCACACCCATCACAACCGCCCGTTTTGTCCTCTTTGTCTATATAGAATAACATAATTATTATGTCACGCACGAGGCGATCGCGCGCGGATTGTATCAACAAAGACGATTTTCATGACGAATGTTATTGATAAACTTTTCGTCCGACGACGGAATCACGAAAAAAGATTTTTAGCACAACCGTGTTCCTATACGAGCTAGTGGTACTCAGGGCCGTAGCTGGGACTAATTTTCATGGGTGGGTGGG